CTGAGAGGAGACTCACAAGCAAAGCGTACAATGTCTTTGGTAAAAGGATCTCACTGTCCAGTTCTGTAATGTAACCAACAACTATGGCAGATAACTTGTATCTTTCTGGGGCCTCTGGGCTTCCTTGGCCAACAAGCTCTTGAGAGTAACTGACCTCTGGCACTGAGGGTTTCCATCAATAACCTTATGTTTTTTTGTCCTTGTGAGTGACATGTACCCTTGTTTACTCTTTGTGAATTAATGCTTCATGTTTGCTCCTTCAAGCGCACTCATTTATCTCCAAATTTGCAAAGCACTCAGAAGTTAGCATTATGCCATCTTCATAACAGAACCTTTTCCAGAGGACGGGAAGGACAAAGGCTACATCTTGAGCTACCATCCCATACCAAATAGTGGGGTTACAACTATAGCTCTATTAAATCCCTCTGGGAGTCTATTTTCATCTGTTCTGAGCAAGCTGAACACAGACAAGGTCTAACACAGCATGGAAAGTTCCCTCCATTTGTATCTGTTGTTTCCTCCACAGATCAGGCTTGGGTACAATTAATTAGTTCTATGTAACCTTCAGGCTTTCTGAGCCGTTCTGCCTCCACATCTTGGAGTCCTTCCTTAGGGCCTGCCTCCTTGTAGTTCTATGATGAACTTGGTGGTGCTAAATCAATCTGCTTTGCCTAACACCAAGGAGGAACATGGTCCTGATTCCTCCCTTTGATCCAAGAGGTACTTCTTTTTTTAAATAATTTATTTTTATTGCATGTGCATTGGGGTTTCGCCTTCATGTATGTCTGTATGAGGGGGTCAGGTTCCCTGGAACTGGAGTTACAGACAGTTGTGAGCTGCCATGTGGGTACTGAGAATTGAACCCAGGTCTTCTGGAAGAGCAGTCAGTGCTCTTAACCACTAAGCTATTTCTCCAACCCTTTCTTCTTCGTCTTAGTCTTTGTCTTCTTCTTCCCGTTCTTCTTCTTCTTGAGACAGGGTTTCTTTATGTAGCACTAACTGTCCTGGAACTACCTCTGTAGATAAGGCTGTCCTGGAACTCACAGATATCTGCTTGCCCCTGCCTCCCAAGTGCTAGGATTAAAAGTGTGAGCCACTACCACCCAGGGAGGCACGCCTGTAAAGGCAAATGTTTCAATTTAGAGGGAATGTTGCAATTTGGAGACACCGTGCCAAATAACACCAACACCACACACAAAAACAAAACAAAGCTCAGAAAAGTTCCACTCTCCACTTGGCAGGAGACCAGGAAGACTTGGTAAGTTTCAGTATTGATCTCATGGAAGCTGGCAGCGACAAGGGGACCACTCACTGTCCCTAGCAGACAACTGACCACCAGATACCAGAACGGAAGCTTCCTAGCTAAGCTTCCAGAAGCCAAGCCTGCAGAGCTCCAACCTGCCAAACATCCAGGAGAAGGAATGAGATACGGCGCTATAGTATTTCTCTTCCACGGCAGGAATGGAAAAACTGACATAATGACACACACAGCAGGAATGAAAACATTGTGGACGGCTTTTGGCAGTACATTTGAATATGTAAAAAATGGAAAAATTCCTAGGAAATCTGGGCAGACTAAATTATTAAACTGTACAAAGATAAAATGGACAGGGGTCAGTAGAACTTTAGACATCTTGAACCCAGGTTTACCTGCTATTCCTATGCTGGACCGCTGAGCTGGTGTTGACTAGCTGACCCCATGTAAGGCAGAAAGCCATGATGACAATTATGACACATACTGGTTCCTCTGCCTTCCTAACCGGCTTTGGTGTTCACTGAATCCCTGGAGGGTCCTAAGAGCAGGAATAACCCAAGATATCTGGCTGGCTTTCTCTCTCTCTCTCTCTCTCTCTCTCTCTCTCTCTCTCTGTCTTAAGACAGGGTTTCTCTGTGTAACAGTCCTGACAGCCCTGGCTGTCCTGGAACTCACTCTGTCAACCAGGCTGGCCTCAAACTCAAGAGATCTGCTTGCCTCTGTCTCATGAGTGCTAGGATTTAAGATGTGCGTCACCACCCTGAACTTGACTCTGTGCCTTCTTTTTTTTTAATATTTATTTCTTATGTATACAATATTCTGTCTGTGTGTATGACTGTAGGCCAGAAGAGGGCACCAGACCCCATTACAAATGGTTATGAACCACCATGTGGTTGCTGGGACTTGAACTCAAGACCTTTGTAAGAGCAGGCAATGCTCTTAACCTTTGAGCCATCTCTCCAGCCCCCAACTCTATGCCTTCTTGATGTCATTAGAGACATCCTATGAGGAGTCTTCTTCGTCCAACGTTCTTGCTCGATATATGTCACAAGTATCGCAGCGTGGGTGTGTGGTCTCACGTGGGGTCGTGAAATGAAGACCCGAAGACACTTTGAGAATGATCTTATCCTTAGCAGCCGCAGGGATCCTCAGCCTCTGGACTGAAGCCGGTTCCCTGAACCCTTAGGCATTTTTATTTTGCCCTGTATTTACACTTTAGACGGGAGATTTCCATATGCTCAAAACAACCTGAAGGAAGCTTCCAAAAATACAATGCCAAGAGCAAATTCCTGATTCAGGAGGTGCCTTGGTTTTCTGGGTTTCCCCCAGCCAAGTTTTGCATAGGCTTTGTATTCATGGAAAACTCTCAGACAAGATTCATATTGGCAACAAAAAGGTTCTGTAACACAAAGGATGGATCAGGGTGCTAACTCCTGAGGTAGGCCAGGTATGGTCCAGCAGGGGTTATAGCTAGCGGGGAGGGAGATACTTGCTATCTCTCTGGCACCAAGCCAGCAGAACACTCTGGCACAAACATATGCTATTTTTAGGCAAAAGTTGACATCTTGCCTAAGGCAACCTAATAGGTTTGGAAAAAAGGGAAGATGGAGAAGCCCAGGAAGAGTACAGGCAACAGAAACCCTAGATGATACCTGGTTTTACTTCTCCACCTTGTGACCCTGCTTTCCTCTCTGTACCAAGTGTCTGCTGGCTGAGGCAACAGCTAAGCAGCCCTTTGGGCTCCATTGTCATTCTCTATCCCACCAGTCTGTACGCGGGATTCAAGTGGGGTTTCCCAGTTCTGTGTGATTATTTGGGTCTGGGCAGCCAGGAAATGAACAAGCAGTCTCCATTTACAAAATGGCACCCACCAACTAGGACATGGATTCACTTAAAACCTAAAAAAAGCTTAAGAAAAAAGAAAGGGCTCCTAGACACACCCCTCCCCAAACAGGAGCCAAGTTCAGCTTCTTGGTAGCCACATATTTTTTTCAGATAGGCTCTGTTTGCTGGCGGTGAACAGAGGCATGGCTCCTCTAAGAGAAGGCTTCCTGCAGGGCAGTGGTGGCGCACACCTTTAATCCCAGCACTTGGGAGGCTGAGGTAGGCAGACCTCTGTGAGTTAGAGGTGAGCCTGGTCTACAAAAACTAGTTCTAGGACAGACTCTAAAGCTACATAGAAACCCAGTCCCGAAAAACCAAAAGAGGGAGAGAGAGAGAGGGCTTCCTGGCTTAGCAGCAAAAACTGCATAGCGGCTGCTGCTGCTGCTGCTGCTGCTGCTGCTGCTGCTGCTTCTTCTTCTTCTTCTTCTTCTTCTTCTTCTTCTTCTTCTTCTTCTTCTTCTTCTTCTTCTTTTTTTAAAAAAAAGCAACTACCTGGTTCATGCTGACTGCATGAACTCTGACTCTTTTGGGAAGTCCTGCACGTAAATGGGGTTTGTGAGCCGTGTGCTGCTAGTTGCTTAATGATGACATAGATCCGTTGTGTTCCTGGAGCTGGGGTATTGAGCATGGCTGGCAGAGGAGGTGACCGTACCTCCATCGTGTTGGACAGGGTGGAGTCAACAGGAAGGGCTACCCAGCTGGTCCTAGCCACGTCCACTTAGCATTAAAAAAAAAGGTGCTCCTGGTCAGAAAATAATTACAGATATGCAATAAAAGACAGAGTCATACAACAATAAATCTCTGAATGGGTCACAGTGCATTTAAAAAATAGACGTAGGCTTGGGAGAGAGAAGAAAAAAGTATAGACAGTTATAAAACGAAGTAAATAGTTTTAAAAAATAAAAGAAAGTCTTTAAAGATATTGTTCTTTAAAAAAGAGTGTGTTCCTGGCAGGCTCGCAGAGCAGCCGCTGGTCCGACAAGGATGCTGTGGGTCCCTGCAAGATCTCCAGGGAGGCAGCGCCATGCGGCCGGGAGTCAGGCGGCGGGTACAACGGATAAAAGGCGCATAGGATATAGTAAATAAACATAAGGATAAACATTTATTACTTAAAAAGAAACAGAGAGACAGAGATACAGAGATAGACAAACATAAAGACATAAAAACATAGAGACAGAAAAAAACACGTGTGCACACACCGAGAAAGACCAAAGAGAGAGAGTTAAGATGGCAGCAAGGGACGTCCGAAGTGGCTGGGAGTGGGCGTGGTTAGTCCTTAAAGGCACTGCAAAGGAATAACATTCCCGGATCCTTTTTATAATAAAAAGTAGAAGGTTAGACATTACAGTTTGAAGGAATTGGGGCGGCGAATTCCCAAGACTGCTTCCAGCTGATTTGTGGGCGTTGTCTTTGGGGGGTGGGGGAGATCCGAGAAAAGGCTGGGTGCTGTTCACATCCTGGCATAGCTGGTCTCTGTTCCCGACAGGTGTCTGTGGCATGGAAATGTCTGGTGTCCCTTGTACCTGGTTAGGGTGTTGGCAGAACAGAGGACAAAGTTAAATTGAGAAAAAAAAAATTTTTAGGACCAGGAAATTGAGGGGTTTGTATCTGACCTGTTTATGATGGGTTTTTTAATTCGGCTTCCTGGAACTCATAAGAAAAATAGAAGTTTTAGACATATAAGAACTCCTTGGGTTTGTAAAAACAAAAATTATAATGAAAAGTATTTTTATTTGGTGAGACAACCTGGCAAAACCTCTTAGCTATCAGACTGTCCGAGATCTTTGAGAAGGATAAGATTTTACTTGAGTTACTGATTAAAAAATGACAGAGAACTGCAAGGGGCCGCCAGGACATCGCCATGGCGAAATGGTGCCAGCGGTCCTACAGCTTGGAGGTAAACAGATTCTTTTGATGTTGCCGCGCAAGCCAGAGTGCCCTAGGCCTGTATTTTGCATAACTGAGCCTTGATTCCTTAGCCTATCCCGAAACCCGGGCTTCAACGGAATGGTATTAACCAATCAGTATCTGAGCCTCTCCACCCTAGAAAAGCGGCTGCCTTTCGGCTTCTCTCTCTCGTCCCCATTCTCCCTTCAACTGAGTTGCTCCAATAAAGTTGTGATTTGGGAAGAATTCTCGATTTCGTGGTCGTTCCTGCTTGCTGGTCAAGGGGTGCGTCTCACAGAGAACTTACTTGGTTGGCACCCATAGCTACTCCTTTGGGTCCTCCATGGTCGCTGAAGGTTGTATTTGACCTTTGTTGTTTAGCGTAGAGCTTTAGAAGACCCTGTGGGCTAAGAAATCTGTAGGAAGACAGGCCTACCTTGACCTGGGCAGCTAGGCTGTCGATTCCAGTGATTCTGTCCATGTTTGGAGGTCTCCAGTTTAGGTGAAAGGCAGTTTTTGCCCAATGGTCAGCGCTTGGCAGTCGAAGCAAACTGCAGATGGATGCTGGTCTATGACTGTTTGTCTTCTTCTTGGAGGAAACAGAGTGCTTCCTAGGAGCCAACCTGTCTCTTTTTGTTATGAAAAGTTTTTTTAAATAATTAAATATTTAAATATCGCATTCCCCAGATCTCTGAGCAGTTGAGGCTATTTATTAGGTATAGCTGTAGTATAGAATCTGTCTGGAAGGTTGGGTTTGAGGTTGACTGTACTGGATCTTAACAGCTAAGATCCACATTTGTAAAAAGACAGAAAGAAAGAAAATAAAAACTGTGACATTAAGATTAGTAGCAGAACTGACAATGGTAGAGAATAGCTTAATAGCACATACCAGTTTAAAATATGAGACTTATGATTTTGTAGTCTGAAACGAGATGCAATGAACAATCATTATACATAGAAAGATTGAACAGGAATTAGGCAAAGTGCATGTTTTTGATGGGCCCATGTTTTTGACATGATCAAAAAGCATGTCACTATGCAAAACACCTGCAATCAGAGTTAACGAGGATTTCAGTGAACACCGAGGAGGGGGAGGGGAAAGCAGGACATACATAAGAATGAGAGAGCTTGGTCGCTTGATCTGGCTCTCAGTGAATCTAGCGATAAAGTTACCTGACCCCAATGAACATGGCGGCGGCCACGTGTTGTGGCTTGAATGGAAAAGCTGCAAGAATTTTAAAAGCCGGGGGTGGCCTGGTTGTTATCCAGAGTCTGAATTGTGAAAACCCGCATAAACAGACAATTTAAAGACAGATAGGTGTGGAGGATTTTGAGTAAGGCATATTTAGGCTGGTACGACTTGCTTTCCCAGGTCAAGACCGTGAAAAACCCACAAAAACCGTGGCATCTCGAGCCTATGGGGAATGGCTCCCCATTTAGGTGAGATGCAAGTGAACATCCGAAACATGTGCCCAGGCGTCCGAGGTGCCCATGTGGGATGCTAAAGGCCGAACCGGATCAGCCAATCCGTCCGTGAGAAAGATAAGAAGGAAGAAAAGAATGAAATAAAGAGGAAGAAGACTGGAGGCCACGGGCCCCCAGGTGCGGAAATGCTGGGAGCTGGCCAGGCCAGCTGTCCCAGGCACGGACTTAATAGGATGTAAGCCGTAATGAACGTCAGCGAAGGGGCGAAGAAGTACCCCCCCCCCCCCAGCCTAGAAATCCGGGAGGACCGGTCAAATCCCAGGTTAAAAAGGCTCAGTTAAGCTGGCTGGAGTGGGGAAACTCAGAATTAGAAGGCAGTGTTGTTTGTAGAAATGAGTTCAGGCAGTTGGCGGTGTTGAGGAAGGCCCTCGGTCCCGATTCAGTCCTGGAAGTTGGTGCTCAGAGTCCCGGACGAAAGGTGAAGCTGGGACCCTGGCCCTTGGCGGGTGAATCTCTCGAGTCACCAATATTGTTCTTTAAAAAGGGCGTGTTCCCTGGCAGGCTCGCAGAGCAGCCGCTAGTCCGACAAGGATGCTGTGGGTCCCTGCAAGATCTCCAGGGAGGCAGAGCCATGCAGCTGGGAGTCAGGCGGCGGGTACAACGGATAAAAGGCGCATAGGATATAGTAAATAAACATAAGGGTAAACATTTATTACTTAAAAAGAAACAGAGAGACAGAGAGACAGAGATAGACAAACATAAAGACATAAAAACATAGAGACAGAAAAAAACACGTGTGCACACGCCGAGAGAGAAAGACCAAAGGGAGAGAGTTAAGATGGCGGCAAGGGACGTCCAAAGTGGCTGGGAGTGGGCGTGGTTAGTCCTTAAAGGCACCGTAAAGGAATAACAAAAGAGACAGTAAAAGTAATATAAAACAGTACAGACAGTCAAAGATTAAAGGAGTAAAGAAAAACAATCCACATAAACATGTAATATACACCGAGAGCCTGGATTTTGTCTTTTCTTGAATTTTTGATTGCAGAGAGATATTTGATTCTGGGGGCTGCTAAACTAAACCAACATACATATTTTAAAGATATCTTGACTTCAAAACTTGAGTCTAAGAATATGCTATTTTGGAAAAGAGGTTCTGCTTTTGTCTCCACAGAGGAGTGGAACCTGTGAATTCCTTCCAGGCTAATTGGTTTGATAGAAAAGACCCCCCAAAAGGTCTCTGTGAACCCTAAAAATACTTTACCCAACAAATAGCAGGAAGCAGTTTGGAGAAAACTATGCCCAAATTTCCAAAATGATTGTTTATTAATGTTTGCTTTCATTAAAAAGGGTTGGGTATAAATGATTAAGTGGTCACAGTCAATTTCTTTCTAAAGAAGGGGGGATATGATATAGAAATGAATACTTTACATTGTTATGGACTTTGATTTATTGATATAAATTTAAGGCAAATTTTGTTTTTTTGTTTTGTTTTGTTTTGTTTTGTTTTCGAGACAGGGTTTCTCTATTGCTTTGGAGCCTGTCCTGAAACTATTTCTCGTAGGTCTGGCTGGCTTCAAACTCACAAAGATTCACCTGCTTCTGCCTACCGAGAGCTGGGATTAAAGGCGTGCACCACCACAGTCTGTCAAGATTGGTTTTGTTAATGTATATTTCTACTCTTGTTTAATATTGTGTTTGTGCCGCTCATTTAAAAATGTAATGTATAGGGGCTGGAGAGATGGCTCAGTGGTTAAGAGCATTGCCTGCTCTTCCAAAGGTCCTGAGTTCAATTCCCGGCAACCACATGGTGGCTCACAACCACCTGTAATGAGGTCTGGTGCCCTCTTCTGGCCTGCAGACATACACACAGACAGAATATTGTATACATAATAAATAAATATTTTTAAAAATGTAATGTATAGTTAAGAAATACAGGTTAATAGATGGCCATCTATAGTTCAGATGGATAGGTGTTCTTCCAACCTTTCAAAGACCTATAGAATATGGCATTTCAAATATTTTAAGAACTTAGATTTTTCTCGACAGTGAGACATGTCTCCTTCTGGCAACACCAATTACCTCAAGAGGATGATGAGTATCGAAGAGGCTCCTTATGGAGTTTGCTAACCATTTGGGTAAGAACCTGCTCTTGCCTGGACCGCTTGATGGTATGCTGTTTGAACTGGACATGCAGGGCCCACAGAAAAATGACTGCTGAACTTGCCAAAAGAAAGTGAGGGGCTGGAGAGATGGCTCAGCGGTTAAGAGCATTGCCTGCTCTTCCAAAGGTCCTGAGTTCAATTCCCAGCAACCACATGGTGGCTCACAACCATCTGTAATGAGGTCTGGTGCTCTCTTCTGGCCTGCAGGCATACACACAGACAGAATCAGAATATTGTATACATAATAAATAAATAAATAAATATTTTTTAAAAAAAAGAAAGAAAGTGAGACAGTCCTTTAGGGTTCCTGCTTCATGAAAGAGTCTGCCAGACATTCTGCAGGACACAGAAGAAAGTGATTGACAAACTGCCAATATAGGAGAAACATTCTTTCAAATTTCCCACTTCACAGAAAAGTCTGTTCAATACTATGGACCTGTGGTCTGAAGATGGAAGCCTCAAGATTACAAAAGAACTTTGGTTGACTGCCTAGGCGGCAAGATGTCTCTTTCAACTCTAGAGTTTTGGAAGTTGCTTACAATGCACTTCCTGTTTACTTAGGTAATATTATATCCTTCTGGGGTCTTTGATAGAGTTGAAGAATAGATAGTTATAATTGTGGTTTTCCTTAGTTATGGCAAAGGATAAATTCGATGTGAAACAGTGTTGTAATTAATATAGATTCTGTGTGATTATTTGGATCTGGGCGGCCAGGAAACAAATGAGCAGTCTCTTTTTACAGCAGTCTTATTGGCCTGGGGGGGGGCAACAAAGGACCACTTCTGGACAGAGAGGAGACAGTCATGGCAGGCACAGAGGAAAATGCAGTTTATAAAGGTATAAAGGTGTTTAACTGGGTTGTTAATTAGGTGAGCCAAAGTGGGCTTTGCTTGCTGGACTTCAATACTTTGATAGCTGGACCTTGGTAGTCTGCCTTGGGAGGAGGAAGTGGCCACATAAGGGAATAGACTTTGGTGACTGGCTTTAGGAATGTAATCTAATGGTTTCTAGAAAGGCTGAGGGAATAGGAGAGAAGAGCAAGGCTTGCCAGAGTCTCATGCTTGAACAGGATACTGTCCCTTCAGTGAACACAGTGGAGTTCCTCAGATGATGGCTGGAAAAGGAAGCAGTGTGCAACCCAGGAGACTCACCTAGATAAGTTAGACCCAGTGCTCAAGTGTTCTATACTCTCCAAAAATAACATCAACCACTAATAACCAAGTATTCAAGCACACAGGCCTATTGGGGACATTTTATACTCAAATCATATTACACCATTGACTGGAACATTGGAAAAATAGTCCCCTCAAGGCACTGTTTCCTTTTAAACAACTATTTTTATTTTGAAGTGTGTGTGTAAGGACTGGATTTACAGGTAATGAAGAGATGCCAGACATAGAACTGAGTTCAGTTCCTCTGCAAG